ACTTCCAAAATGATGCGCACAATGTGTATATTTATTTTGTATCGAAACTCAAGTAAATAGAATATAATACGATACAAATCAATACAGTGTTTAGTTATGAAATGTTTATAAAATAAGCTCACAGTATGATTATATATGATAACGCAAATTCGGGAAGCCAAACTTTGCATTACATTTTATCAAAACAATATTAGAACATCTTTGCATCTTTGTCTTTGTTGTCATCATCTATCCAACGTTTTCGTACAGTAAGACTTATTACATAAAAGTAGTACATTTTAGAGATGATAATACAATTGTGATAAATTAGATAAGTTACTAGAATTACGTATCAATCTTTCCCTGATAGATGGTTGTGACAGCACTTAACATGTCATAGTTTGGTTAACTATGAGGTTTTTCTAACTTAAGTTTCTTGTATCACGTAATACTTAATCCTTTTCATTTTTATTAGTCCTAAAAGCATATAGCTTACTTTTAATTATATAAAATTATTCTGTCTGTAAATACTTTATTCCATCTTTATCTTCATCTGTTTATTTATTCCCTTTTTTGGAAGTCACTTGTTTTGTTAAACTGAATAGATTTTTTGCAACATTGTAAAAGTTACTTTTCTCCAGACGTATACATAGCAAATATGCGCCTGTTAATAAAAGCTTCGGGTATTTTTTACCTTTTGTTCATGTATTCTTGCGCATAAGCTAGATAATACATTCCACATGTGCACTGACTATAGACTAGTCGAAAATGTCTCTAAAACATATTCGTTTTCAATGCATCAACAAAGGTGTAAATGTGTAAAAGGTCACTAAGTTTGACCTTTTAATATGATAATGTATAATGCTCTCCCGGAAGGAGCAAAAGAAATTTCTTCATTTGCCTCTTATTTCCCAACTTCCACGGGACTTAGGTTTCCCACGATGTTATTTATTATTCTGAATTATTTGACCAAATTTGTGATGGTTGAACACGACACCAAGCAAGCAGGCTCGGGATGTGAATTTGAATTTTTGAAACGGAATGTAATCTTACTTGCATACAGCTATCCTATTTTGAAGATCTGGGTCCACTTTTCTAAATGCACTATAAAAGCGGTCGCGATACCAGAAATAATTCGAAGAAAGGGATGTAGGAAAGCTCCCGTGCCAGCAATAGATGCAGCGCTTAAGGCTAATAGAATTGCAGAGAAGATATATAGCAGGCGCTTGTAATATCTGTACTATTTCTTAAAGTAGCAAGCCATTAAAGTAGCAAGCCATTTTGTGATAGCAATACTAATACGTGATCAGCTCTTCGCTCTTTTTTTCAGGATGGTTGCTAATATGATTGAATGATATGAAATATTTAATCAAATATAACTAAGTTATGTATATGCTAATAGCATACTTGTAACATAGAGTAATTTTTAGATTTAATGTGTCATGCTATAATTTTGCAATAGATGTGTGGTGTTCTTTAAAGCTTGCTTCTATCTTTAGTTGTTTTAACATGGTCGTAAAGATAAAATGTCACATTCGCTTTCTGTATTTTAATGAATTTTTTTTATCATTCCAATCCTATAATCTGGTTTTGACTTACGATGCACAATAACGTCTTGTAACGTGCTATTTTATGGTCCGATCATATGAGCAAATGTTTCTTCTTAGCTGCAACTGGAACATCTCTTATAAAAGTTGTCGTATTTGATAATTACTATTGTTTTGCTATTTTGCAAGGGAATCTTGGTGTGGCATCATATCATACAAGCGGTCTCTAAGATACAGATTCATTTCATGACATGGATCGGGCGAATAGGAAAATTAAATACCGTCAATCACTTCAATCAATGCGATCGTGTTATTAAATAAAACAAGAACTAGTTTGTCTTCTGGCGTCAACTTTATTATTATAGCATCTCCGAGCCAGCGCGCCATCAAATTGATCTTTCGTTTAACAGCAATTTATTCGGTTCACTACGTACCACCCTCATACATTCTGTCATGATCGTCTAGAATAAAACATTTTTAAGTAATTCAGACCATGAGTTTTACGTTGCAGAAGCGTAAACATTCATGAAGATGCGATATTTTGTTGTTCCTAGATTTGGGATTTCGAACATGTGCACGAAATACCTTATTGTTGCTTTGCTCGAATCAAAAGCTACCCAATTCATGTCGTCGTTTAATGCTTCTAATCGTCAATTCTTGACACACGTGTTTCCAGCTATCATGCCTAGAAGATGAAATCGCCATATGATGTCTCTGGTTTAGACTGTTACCCAGTCATTTTCCTGCGCTGAGTAAGGAATGTGTACGGACATTTGTCCGTATGCCTAGTAGGTAGTCAAATGTTCTGACGAGACAGAGGTGAAAACTCCACTAATATTTAAGTTATTTGACGACAGCGGTGAAATATGACCAACCATATTTTCACTGGCCTTCTCCCATCTTTTATTTCCGCACTTTTGACGTCTACATGGGAAAAATCACATTAGTTGAATTCTAAACCCTCGCGAGTGAATAATTAACGGGTCATATCATATTGCGGATGTCGTTTGAGCAGAAATCTAGTGTGCAAAACCCCCTAAAAGAAACAAAAACAAAACACAACAAAACAAAACACAAAGATTGTCCCTCGATCAAATCTGATGTCATTCTAATGTACCAGTTTGCGAGATGGTCAATATATCATTACTGGGACCAAACGTTGTGTCCCCACACGATTTGGTGCCTGCAGCTGTAGACGCATCAACTAGTGGCGCGGCCAAGTTCGTGATCTTTCAGCCAGTCATATTTAAGTCCCCAGTCATGGTTCCACCAAGTATATGCAGAACACTTAACGCAAGAAAACCAATATTTGTACGCCAACGACTATATAATTTTGTCCGGCAGAATGTATATGCCATTCAGAAAAATCTTAGTGGTAGCCTCTGTCATTAAAACTTTAGCGGTCGTATACTTTATTGGCCGTATCTGAGATGGCTGTAGGCGTCGTCAGCTTCGTTACTTGTTGCGTTTACAGTGCTTACATTTAAGTAGCCCTGTCATAGTGTCGCCAGATTTTAGTGCTCGTCTATTAAGATTCCAAAAAGAACCAGACGACAACATGCCTGATTTAAATATGTTGTCTATGTCGGTTCTCATAACTCTATAATGACTCATTACATGTACTCTGATTATAAAAAATTGCATCACTAACTTTGACTCAGGGGGACAATATGTCATTTCTTGTCATGATAGTAGGTCCAAGACGAACCAGCTACTGAATATATTGTTAAATACGGTATCAGCTACGACAATGTCATCATCTACAAGATATATTCTAGCTAAGGTAAGTGCAAACATTTTAGGAATCTTGAGCAGTTATGATGCTTCAGCATTTAAAATACTGATGGTAAAAGTGACTCTGTTATAATATTTGATGATATTAACATTGATCGCCAGAACAAAATTAAAGAGTATTTTTCTGTCAAGAAGCAAACGATGAAACTCAATGTACTTGGCGCAGTCATAGGATTACTTTCCAAAATCTTTGGAGGGGCCCCGAGTGGCCGAGTGGTCTAAAGCGCTGTCCGTTACGGATCACTGCCATCTCACCTCTGTCTGCGTGTGTTCGAGTCTAGGATTCGGCGAATGTGGATATGTGAGAAAGCTTGCCAGTAGCTTCTCGTGGGTCGGTGGTTCTTTCCGGTGATTTCCCGGTTTCTTCCTCCACCATTAATACTGGCCGCCATGATTAGCCTATCGTGTGCTGAAAAATGGTGTTAAACCCAACAACAACAACCAAAAACTTTGGCCCAAACACGAGCCACTTTGTTAAATTTCAGGTGTAGAAAACGGCGACATAGACTCGAGTGCGTATAATTAATGCAGTGTTATTGACTCTGCTAAATTAAAATAATGCTACCACAAGGCCACACGCAGCAAGATACATAATTTTATGGTGTTTCATGGCAACGCAGAACTGATTCCTGAGATGTGCCGTCGTGGCCTTGGCGAAGTGTATCTGCAGGACCTGCTCTGGGCAACAACGAAAATCCTGACTTAAAATGTTTCGAAGACATGGGTCCTCTAATTTGGCACAAACGTTCTACAAGTCCCTAATGGGCTCAAAGAATATATGGCTGAGATCGTGCAAAGTATTTAGAGCAGTAACAATAACTACCCGGTCATGCTATGGCAAAATCAAATGAGAGTAATGAGAGTAAACTTTTCAGCACGGCGTGGCTAAGAAATAACAGCCATGACTGATTTTGCATCTATGCACAATAAGCAACAAGGCAAGCAGATCAAGAACCAAAAAGTTACAATGCTATTTTAAGTAAAGTTATTGTTAGCGTTGAATAAGAGGCATAGGCAGATCACAGAGCCGCAGCCTAAGGAGATACAAAAGCTAGAAGGGAAAATATCAGAGCCAGAGATATTTCTGAAAAAGCCTACAGGGAGCTTGTTGACGATACGAATGTAAAGGATGAGATTCTTGTACAAACACAGTTGTCATCCAGAAAAGACTATTATTATTTGATTCATCTGAAGAGAATCTCTCCGACGTAAACCTACTCCTTAGTTAAAAAAAATAGGAGATTATAACAAGGAGCTAAGAGAGTTTGTTCGTAGGGATAAGATGATCAGGTTGGAGCTCGAAAAAATTATCGCCAGATTTTCAATAATATATATACTAAGCAGGTACCTGCTTAGATTCTTCAGCGACCTGACCGAACATATGGCACGACTAATGTTATTGGTCGCCAGTTAACAAGCTGGAAACCTAGTACGGAGGTTGACCATGAAATCGCTGAATGCTAGATACATTACTTCAGCAAAATTTATCAGTAAAGTCGACTACAAAGTTTTGTACAATGCCTAGTTATGGAAACGTCTAAAACTCTTCTATGGACTGAAAACTTGCTCAAAGAATCAGCAGTACTTTTACTGTCAGATATAATACCCCCATAGAGATGTCGCATGACACGTGATATGAAATCGGAAAGTTGGAATTCATTTCATGATGTCACGGAGAGAGACCGCTCCGGTGGCCTAGTGGTTAGGGCGTCCGTCTTGTATGCGGAAAGTCGCATGTTCGGACACTTGCTGGGTCATACAAAAAGCTGATAAAATTGGTACTAACAGCTGACTCGCTTTGCGCTCAGCATTAAGAATTTAGTGTCAGGACTGGTCGGCCTTGGTGGTAAGATAATGTGACTTGGTGGGACGCGATGCGAAATGTTTTATGCATGATGTCCCAGTGCTACACATCACTATCAAACACACATACACACATATCTTATTTCAGCAGGCGACGATTATTCCTGGAGCATACAATGTGAAATTAAAAGGAAGATGATGACGTATGGTCACGTTGGCTGAAACTGACTTGGCTGATCAACATTGTTCTAGACTCAGGACGCTCATGACGATCAAGGCTGGTTACCAAGTTGATTGGACTATTTATAACATTCCGAGACTTCTGCTAGGACTAGCTCACGCATTTTCAGCAAGACGGCGTCTGAGATATTAATTCTTATGTCATCATAAGCAACATAAATAGCTTGCTGATAAATTGTTCTGTAGTCGAGGATCATATGGCTTGCGAGGTGGTCATGGCAACGCTATTTACAGCTTCAATCCTAGGTAGAACAATGATCTTTCCTGTCAATCAAGTTTTGAACACTAATTTACTACCCAAATAAAAGAAAACCTATGAATTTCAACAGAAATCATGACGTCCACCAGACCAACAAGGGAACAATTTTATTTGGAATATCGAGACCGCAATATTTTATTTACATCCGGAAAGGCAAAACAAAAATATTTAATTAGTTTAAGACGAACTAAGCGCAAAGGATTGTAGGACTATTTTGAATTGCTTTTTGACAGAATAAAAGCAATTTTGTCTGGCAGAGCAATAAACGTTGCTATTGATGTATCTAACCTTGCAAAAGGGAGCTTTGTAAGCTGAAAGTGTTGCAGGAAAACAATAGTAGATACAATTTTTAACACCAGCACCAGTCAGGGAAGCATTAAAGGAAATTGCGCCCCTAAAAACACTAAGCTTATGATAAACAGCACAACCTAACAGTTTTATCCGATCATGATGAAGATTCTTTCAGCATGATATATGCGCGAAAAACCGCAGCCAAATGATAATATGGCAGAGATAATATAGCAGGATCTGGTCTAAAACGAATTTTTCTGTAAAAAGGATATATAAATATGCTGTCTAGATACAACCCAGTGTATTTCAAGCTTTTCAATTAGACCTCAGCTGATGGGTCAACAATTGAATACGAGTGCTAGACAAAGACTAATATTGTTGTATTTATTTTATCAGAAAAACCTGCCTTGAACATATTTCTTGAATACAGATCTCGTCCATAATTGGACAATTACAAGTTAGTATTAAATAAGCTAAGTAAGCTATATACTTTGTCCAAAATCCAAGTATAATGACAGCTTCGTAGTGCTTATAGAGCAAGAGAATACTGATATATTTGGGAGAAAACGTTGAGTGTGTGCGTGTGCGTGAGCGTACGCGTTTGTGTGCGTGCATGTGCGCGTGCGTGCGTGCGTGTGTGCTCTTTGTAAAGTAAGTTAAGTAAGCTCTTCAAAAGCGGACACAAAACAAATAACTTACACATAGAAAACGAACCCTTCACACAAAATCTATAATAAAACCGCACAATGTTTTACAGAAAAAGACGAGATGGCTTTTGTGTCATTGAAAACCAATATTATTGACCTAATTCTAACTTGTGAATAAATGACAGAAACAAAACGTAGCTAGAGGTCAACGCCAGAAATTATCCCACGGTAGAGTTATGTTGTTGTTGCTGAACCACCGACCCACGAGAAGCTACTGGCAAGCTTTCTCACCGAATCCTAGACTCGAACTCACGCAGACAGAGGTGAGATAGCAGTGATCCATAACGGACAGCGCTTTAGACCACTCGGCAACTCAAAGGAAGTTCTGAAGCAAGGATGCTAAAATAATTGTGTATCGTGATAATGGATAAGAACCTTAATAATAATAATAATAATAATAATAATAATAATAATAATAATAATAGTAATAATAATAATAATAATAATAATAATAATAATAATAATAATTTATTATTATTATTATTATTATTATTATTATTATTATTACTATTATTATTATTTTTATTATTATTATTATTATTATTATTATTATTATTAAGGTTCTTATCATTATTATTATTATTATTATTATTATTAAGGTTCTTATCATTATTATTATTATTATTATTATTATTATTATTATTATTATTATTATTATTATTATTATTATTATTGTTAAGGTTCTTATCATTATTATTATTATTATTATTATTATTATTATTAAGGTTCTTATCATTATTATTATTATTATTATTATTATTATTATTATTATTATTATCATTATTATTATTATTATTATTATTATTATTATTATCATTATTATTATTATTATTATTATTATTATTATTATTATTATTATTATTATTATTATTATTATTACAATAAGGTCAGAAAAAATAAATAGCGGGGTATATATTTGCGCACAATTTCCATCTGGTACAAAAGTGATGACTGGCTGTGATTTTGACAAGGCTGCACCGGGAAGTTAGATTTCTTTTATTCATCTTAAATTTGCGCTATCCAGTATAGTTCCTTACGTGTACGTTCTATGTCTGTCTACCCTAGGCTGGATTCAATCGGTACCATCTACAGCGACTTGACTGAATGACTATTTGAGTTGTAGTTGTTGGCATTTTTAACGTTGCTTTTGCTGCTAGTATGGCTTTTATGAAATTAATGTGTAGATTGTGGATGTTTTTATTTCATCTTTCGACATTGAGCTGAATCCAAATGTAACAGTTTTATCTCATTCATGTACGATATAAAGTATGTTGGGTCACGAATTTGTTTTGATGATCATGGCAATATTAGAGGCAACATATCTACTGATGATTATGACTCTAGCAGAGGCAACATACTTTGATATTTATGACTCTAGCAGAGGCAACATACTTTGATGATTATGACTCTAGCAGAGGCAACATACTTTGATAATTATGACTCTAGCAGAGGCAACATACTTTGATAATTATGACTCTAGCACAGGCAACATACTTTGATGATTATGACTCTAGCAGAGGCAACATACTTTGGTGGTTATGACTCTAGCAGAGGCAACATACTTTGGTGGTTATGACTCTAGCAGAGGCAACATACTTTGGTGGTTATGACTCTAGCAGAGGCAACATACTTTGGTGGTTATGACTCTAGCAGAGGCAACATACATTGATGATTATGACTCTAGCAGAGGCAACATACTTTGATAATTATGACTCTAGCAGAGGCAACATACTTTGATAATTATGACTCTAGCAGAGGCAACATACTTTGATGATTATGACTCTAGCAGAGGCAACATACTTTGATGATTATGACCCTAGCAGAGGCAACATACTTTGATGGTTATGACTCTAGCAAAGGCAACATACTTTGATGGTTATGACACTAGCAGAGGCAACATATCTACTGATGATTATGACTCTAGCAGAGGCAACATACTTTGATAATTATGACTCTAGCAGAGGCAACATACTTTGATAATTATGACTCTAGCAGAGGCAACATACTTTGATAATTATGACTCTAGCAGAGGCAACATACTTTGATGATTATGACTCTAGCAGAGGCAACATACTTTGATGATTATGACTCTAGCAAAGGCAACATACTTTGATGGTTATGACTCTAGCAGAGGCAACATACTTTGATGATTATGATTCTAGCACAGGCAACATACTTTGATGGTTATGACTCTAGCAGAGGCAACATACTTTGATGATTATGACTCTAGCACAGGCAACATACTTTGATGATTATGACTCTAGCAGAGGCAACATACTTTGATGATTATGACTCTAGCAGAGGCAACATACTTTAATGATTGTGGTATTGCAGAGGCAACATAATTTTATGATTATGACTCTAGCAAAGACAACATATTTTGATGATTATGACTCTAGCAGAGGCAACATATTTTGATGATTATGGCAGTAGCAGAGTCAACATATTTTGATTACTATGACTCTAGCAGAGGCAACATATTTTGATGATTATGGTATAGCAGAAGCAACATACTTTGATGATTATGACTCTAGCAGAGGCAACATACTTTGATGATTATGACTCTAGCAGAGGCAACATACTTTGATGATTATGACCCTAGCAGAGGCAACATACTTTGATGGTTATGACTCTAGCAGAGGCAACATACTTTGATGATTATGACTCTAGCAGAGGCAACATAATTTGATGATTATGACTCTAGCAGAGGCAACATACTTTGATGATTGTGGTATTGCAGAGGCAACATAATTTTATGATTATGACTCTAGCAGAGGCAACATATTTTGATGATTATGACTCTAGCAGAGGCAACATATTTTGATGATTATGGTATAGCAGAAGCAACATACTTTGATGATTATGACCCTAGCAGAGGCAACATACTTTGATGATTATGACTCTAGCACAGGCAACATACTTTGATGATTATGACTCTAGCAGAGGCAACATACTTGACCCTAGCAGAGAAAACATTCTTTGATGATTATGACCCTAGCAAAGGCAACATATTTTGATGATTATGGTTCTAGTAGAGGAAACATTCTTCGATGATTATGACTCTAGCAGAGGCAACATACTTTGATGATTATGACTCTAGCAGAGCCAACATACCTTGATGATTATGACTCTAGCACAGGCAATATATTTTGATTATTGTGACTCTAGCAGAGGCAACATATTTTGATGATTATGACTCTAGCAGAGGCAACATATTTTGATGATTATGGCAGTAGCAGAGTCATCATATTTTGATGACTATGACTCTAGCAGAGGCAACATACTTTGATGATTATGGTATAGCAGAGGCAACATATTTTTGATGATTATGACTCTAGCAGAGGCAACATACTTCCACGATTATGACTCTAGCAGAGGCAACATACTTCGATGATTATGACTCTAGCAGAGGCAACATACTTTGATGATTATTACTCTAGCACAGGCAACATACTTT